TATATATATATATACAAAGTGAAAGACCACTCTTTGAATATATTCTCTTTACTTTAAAAATATAACTTCACAGTTTACAATTTCTTTGATTTTTATTCCACTTTCTTATTCAACCTAATCATATTATTCAACATTGATCATTTAACAGCTTTTAGTCAACAATCTATTTGACTATTTTGTTTGAATTTTGACACATCATACTACTATAGACAAAATTGAAACTTATTAGAAGATAAATCAAATCAAATATTCAATATTTCAAACGTTCATTCTTAAGTATTCTACTATATCATATATCGCTTAATAGAAACATAGTAAATAAAAACAGAATAACCTATTCTTTATCAGACATATAATTGCGTCAATAAAGAATAAATTTCAAATTTAATATATCTAATATGATCTAATCTGCCAATTCATATTAGTTTCTTTGAGATGGGCATCAAAAGCAGAGAGGGACAGAGATTTTAGAAAATTTGGAGTAAATTTTTTTCTTCTGCTAAATAACTTTCCAAAATGAAACTAATTCCACTGAAATAAGTAGTGTGGAAGTAATAACTGATTTCTAAATAGATGTTTTTACAAAATCGGAGTAAACACTAAAAAAGAAGAAATGTATGCACCCTAGTGGATACACCTGGTACAAGTACTGGATTAAGTGATCAGTACTTGGGAAATACGTGACAAGTTAAGCACTTGGTAAGTACTAGAGCAAGAACTTGCCAAGTGCCGTTGACTTGTTTCAGCCAGGTATTTGGACAACTCATTCATCCTTTTCTTTTGTATTGTCAGTTGTAGATAAACACCACAATATTAATAGTTATACACTTATAAAATAGACTTATATATTTCTACTAAGTTGAACAAACTTAGTAGTTGTGCATGTATTTACTCTACAAAAGTAGAGTATAGATTCAGAATATGTATACAAAATAAAAATAAATGGAACAAGTATCTAATTGAACTTTTTCAAGTAAATTTGCTAGCATTGTGTCATCCAAATACTTACATTACAAGTGAATTTACTTGGAAAAGGACAAGTACTATCCGCATTGCTTAATCCAAGTACTTGCGCAATCACTGAGGTAATTCTTTTTCTCTTTTGTCGCTGCATCTCTGCTTTGAGATTTAGTTAAAATGCTTTTATTTAAATAATGGCTACCTTCATTTTATCTTCTCTTCTTGATGATTGAATAATCCTTCGACTGCGACAACAGCAAATAAACTCAGTTCTTATACTTCAGTCTTTTCTCGAAGTTTTGAATCGCTCTTCATTTACTTTGTTTTGAAACCTAGATATGATGTATATACTATCGTTTTCTAAATACATTGTCAGCTACTGGCTTTTTGAATAACTCAGCAAAGAAAAATGATAGAGCATCCAGCATCCTTAGGCAAATTGTAATGTTCGTTTTCATTAAATTTCAAAAACCTAATGGAAATTACGGTGAAACTAACCAGTTTAGGCTGTTTTCACGCAAAATTGAAATATTCATAATTCATTCGAAATCTGTTCAAAGTACTTCAGAGCTTCGAGATATGCTCGGTTTAACGATGGTGAGGTTTATAGTGCCAAAAGAACATGTTTGTACTTCAGAATTTTTTCAGAAAACTCTATAAGCTCTTTCTTCGAACCTACCATACTGCTAATAAGCGTGTAAAACAGATAAAATTGAGTATATATTAAAATTTGAAGTTGAAGGTTATCTATCCAACTAAAAATACAACTGCCGAGTTATTCAAAAAAGAGTAACCAGCACTGTATTCTGAAATGATAGTAGACATAGATTATTTATTTATTGTCTCTAGCTCAACGTTGTCGTTCTAATATAAAAATTACACAACTTTATCTATGCATCGTCTAGCGAAATATATTAGTGTATATATTTCTGTGCGCACAGTACATTACAATCAAGCAACCTAAGTCAAATAACAAATATTTGAATATTAAAGTGTGATATCGTAACTGTGCAGATTTCTTTTTATTTCTGTACGATGCTGCTGTTAAAAGCTATAAACAGAACAGTCATATATGATAATACACAAACCTATTTTTTTCTTTTAGTTTCTATACTATTGTCGAATGACAAGAGAAAGTACAAACTAAAGTTACGAACGGATTTGCCGTGAGAAAGGTTGTCCGTAAACATTCAAAAAAGAAACAAAAAACAGAAGAAAAAAATGAAACGAATAAGAAATATTATTCGCATAGTTTCAATAATGCTATATAGAATTTAGTCGCATCGCTGTTTTTTTTGTTCATTAAAATGATTTTTATTCAAAGATAATTGCTTTTACAGGAAAGATAGCAAGTCCAACAGAATTCGATAGTTTACACACGAAGAAGAGAAAACTCTGATATAGAAGCAGTCTCTTACATCAGTAGAATCAAAATTGAGAAAGATGAACTGGATAAATCAAAATTATAATGCATGAACTAAAAATTATCTTTTCTCTTTAAAAATTGATTTTGCTGTCTGGAATGCAGTTTTTTTTCTTCTTCTCAGGAGATAATTCATTTTATTGTAGAATGCTACATCAAAGCCGACTAGTTACTATAACGGTTGAAAATCTGTTGAAATTGCTAGAAGAAAGGATTTTTGTCAAACTCTATTCCTGATTATGAATTTATTTGTGTAAAACAGATATGTGACAGCATTTGTCTTACTTATCGTATAGACACATGATTGGTAAACGTTTTTTTTTTTTTTATCTTAATTTATTGACAATTGATTATTTGGAATGTTTGCTTATATACAGAAAGGTAGAATGAAGATAGATGATTGCTCAAAAATATTTGTACAAACAGTTTCGTCTCCAAATAAACAATCATTATATTGATTGGTATATACTTATAAAAATCTAATCTTTACCCCATTATTAATACAATTGGCATACACTCTCAAGAAGGATTGGCATCAAGTTCAATAGTCAACTGAAAGATACTTCAGACGATTAACTATATATATATAGAAAGATAAAACTAAACCGAATCCATATTCGTGTTGTTTTATACCTTCTTCCTTCCATTATAGAAAGAATTGATAAATTTTGCTTAATTTAACAGTAATGACCAAAGTCCAAATTCTACTAAAATTTTTTTTAAAACATTCAATATTTTTCTCATCAAAAAATGTTACTGAGTTTTTTTTCTTTCAGCATAGTCTACCTCCCTTTATAAATTATTATTGAAGTTCTTTTTTACTTAAGTAAATTTCATTGGTTATTATTCATTTTCTTCGTATCTGACTTTCTATTGGTTTGTTTATGAACAGAAAAAAAATATAATACAGAAGCAAGCAATGTTTCATACTCTCTGAATCAATTCTCCACAAAAAAGGAATTTTTACACAGCAGCTTTTAAGCTGCTGAAAATGAAATAGAAGCAATGAAAAAGTCTATATGTGTAGATATACTCTTTTCTCTTTTTACCTTTTTTCATCTCTTGATGATGATTTGTGCCGAATTGAAGAAGAAAAAAAAAATGAGAGAAAAAAATGGTCTTTGATACATAACGTATATAAAAACATTATAGTATACAGATCGTCTTTTTTTTAAGAACAGAGAAAAAAAATTTTCTGCTCACTCAGACACACGTACGTCTAAGAAATCGATTGGTAGGAGAAAAAAAGAATTTGTAATAATATATAATCATGATATTATTAAGATGAGACAATATGATTATACTGTCAGAAATTTTGATAGATCAGTCATAAATATAAAAACAAATTCCAACAAAAGAAGGTATGTGTATCTAGTAGCTAAAACATACTAGTTATAGAAAATAATATCATAATTATTATTGATTTACGATATTTAAACAAAAAACATGTTGACCTTTTTAATTATAATTATCAACAATTTTTAGAATTTATTCTGTTGAACTATCAAATAGAGAGAGGGAGAGAGAGTGTGTGTGTGTGTGTGTAAAAAGTTAGTTTTTTCAATAGTATCTGATTATAAACTATTTTCTCAACAAGCAGTTCTATTCTATTTTCAATAGTTTCATGAAGAAGTCTAGAGTTCCTTCTACAGTAATAATGTGAAAAATGGTGATTATTTGTTATTTGTACACATTATGAATCTGTTTTACAACTTTAGTCAATACATGAAGATTTATATGACGATTCAACTGCTATCAGAAGCGGTACTTGTATGAATATAATAATGCGCTGTTTTTTTTCTGACATTTAACTAAGAACAGGTCACTGATTTTTTTTCTATAATTTTACGACAATAATGTATTAAAATATTCTAAACCATTGCTGTTTTTGTCAAAAACAAATATATTTTAGCTAAAAATCTAACAATATGAAACTATGCATATTGTAAAATAATCAGAGCTACTATGATGAAAATTGAGTTCTTTATTTGTCTCATATAAGGAACTACTTGGACATCTTGAGAGAGCTCAAAACGAGATCTTGTGCTTTGAAAATGACTCATATTGAGTTCATTGATTTCTCATACAAGTTTTGTGGAAAATGGAAGAATTCATGAAAAACTGATAATCAGCTATGCATATGAGAGTTCAACTTTTCAAGAAAAGGAAACACTTTTTTTTCATTTTTGAGTTACTCTAAAAGCTTGAAGAATCACGTTTCTTTTACCATGTAGACTACTTAGCGTCAACATAAATTTCTTAGTACTCATGCAATAGCAATTTTATTACAAAAGATTACTAGTTGTTTCTGCACATAACATTATATCATTTACATTGATCATTTTCAAAACTAAATGTTCTAAACTAAATTGTAAGTTGCTTGATGTTCGTTAGTTATAGTAACAATAACATCATCTATCTATGACTCTAATAGTTCTAAACTAAAGATTGTGAGATATCGTCGTACTATAGTCAGCCACTTATAGACACAAACGATGAAATCTGATATGATGAAAAGTAAATAATCTCCAAATGATACGACTAATTTGTGTTCAAAAAGTGGTAAAATAAGATTAATTGTGAACTTTTTTTTAATTTCATAGTGATCAGAAAGAAAATGTCTCCAGTATTCAATCCTACTGTTCGAAATCATCCAAAATATCGTGACAGAATATCACAAGTGTCAATGACAAATAATCAAATTCGTACATTAATTAATATTTATCCACAACACAGCATTATGCTACCACAATTCCATCGAATGCTTCCCATCAATGTTCCATTAAGTGAACAATCGTTACCAAAATTTTGTTCATCATTAGAATTGCGTCAAGCAATGAAAACTGCCTGTCAACAACAACAACAACAAACAATTACTCCCATGTCCGAAGCAACCGCCACTGCCGCTTTTTATCAATTTTATTATCCACAATTAGTTGCTTCACTTTCATCATCCAACTTTAACACTCAAAGAGTCCAAAGACAATTGACAAATACTAGTGTCATAAACAATAATTGTTCAAGTGTTGGCACAGATTTTACTAGTAGTAATAAACCTCCATCAACGATGAACAGTATCTCATCATCAGACAATACATTGTCTTTGAAACGTCTTTATAATGGTGAACAAAAAGGTGTAAATTTCTTTCTTTATCTCTATAAATGTTATATCAATTGAAAAATACCTTTATTCTGTTTTATACTTTATTTTAGAATCAACAGTAAAAGAAAAAAAGAGACGATTTGATTTTGCTAAATTGGCTGTAGAAGCTGTCAAAGATAAAGAATCAAAATCAGAATTACCAGCGGCAATTATTACCAGTGGAATTTCGTTTTATTGTTTAAAGTAAGTTTTAAAAATTCAAAGATTCTTGTCAGAATTGTCTAAAAATTCGTGATCACAGTGTTTGACCGTAGAACGTTTTTTTAAATGAAATGATCTAGAAACTTATATTGCTACACTCAAAAGTGTCAAAAATTTAAAAATCAATTTCTAACTATTTTAGACAAATATAAAACGGTGAATACTATTTCATTTCAAATTAACTGATTAGTCTATAATTTCCCTTTATAATTATGTTTCATTCACTAAGAAACGTTGATGTCGATTATAGACCTATAGTTAAAGCTTATGTTGTACAATTTTCTTGTTTTAATGATAAATACATTTCTGTAGTCTAAATAAATTTTGCGCGTGTGTAATTTTATATAAGCAAGTAATTGTCAAGTGACATACACACAGATAGATTAAAAATAAACGAGAATATTATCCGTTACTTCTAATTTAGATTGTAGATAAAGATAAGAAAAAAATGTGTCTGGTTATCGTTCTAAAATAAAGAACAAGAAAGAGAAGAAGAAGAAGAATGCTAACTATCTAGTAAAATTATTTTGTTTTTATCAACACCTGCCTTGTTGGAACAATAAACAACGTTGGATATATCATCATTTCTTCGACTCTTTCCGATAACGTTCACTATGTATAGAAATTAAACGAGTTTCTTTTAACGAATAGAAAAAAACACTTTTTTTTCGTTTCTTCTCTGTTCTCTTATTTGCCAGTATGACTTGAGTATATATTACCTTTCTCTATTAATTCCTTTGGGTTACTCTTACTCATAGATCTTAGTCTATCGATATAGACAAAAAAAAATCATTGGTTCCATCACTGTAATTACTTTACTTTAATTGTGTGTTTTAGTGGATCTGTTGAAAATGGTCGTATGACAAACAGTGCTGTTACATCCTTACCAACGTTAACAACACCGCCACAGCAGCCGCCAATGAAAAAGGTTCTTGGTGGTGGGAAACGGTATGTACTAACCGGTTATATATGGAGAGAAAATATCATCAGTTATTGTTTATCTAATAGACGAAAAAAAGAATATATTTGCAAATTTTGTGCAAGACATTTTACAAAATCTTATAATTTATTGATCCATGAACGAACACATACAAATGAACGACCGTTTACGTGTGATATCTGTTTCAAAGCATTTCGACGTCAAGATCATCTAAGAGACCATAAGTAGGCGTTTAAGAGATTTAAGTTTTTATATAATTAACCTGTTTTAACAATATTTTTCAGATATATTCATTCAAAAGAAAAACCATTCAAATGTTTGGATTGTGGTAAAGGTTTTTGTCAACAACGAACATTATCTGTACACAAATCAGTTCATCAACAAACAAATTCAAGATAGTAGCACGTTGGCATTTATGTTATGCACATAGTTCGTGTGTTAATTAATTATCTATATCTGTTTAACTTTTATTTTATTTTTTCCATTTTTGTACATTCTATTTAAAAACTAATATAAAAATACAATATAATAAATATAACGCATTAAGGTAGTGAGCTGAATGAACACTTTCCAAAAATTTACCGCACATCAGTATTAAGTATACTGCCAGTGATTTAAACGTTAATTCCTACTGATGTTTTTCGATGCTAATCCAAACTTCTTGAACGATCAGATCTTTGATACAAATTTTTTTCAATTTACCACTTTTGACAGTTGTATATTTTTTCAACGAGCAAGTGAGTAATATTTCTATTTCTATTAATGCAAATCAAGAGAAAATTGTTTATTATAGGCTAGAGGTCAACGGACGTTATTTTTAGATATCAGAAAATTATTCAGATATTCTGATCCTTGTAACATATAATCATATAGGGAATACTGTAGAAATTTGGTTTAATTATTATTCCGACTTATTTTTAATGTACTAGATTCTCTCATTTTTTTTGAATAAATTCAGTACGAACAGTGATACAAACCTGTGATTTTCTCCATTATATAGGAACAAGTTGAAGGTATCACACGCGAACGGTGATATAGATGGAATGCTGATATCGTACGTAAAATGCAAAAAGAAATTGATCAACATTTTCATACAAATGATGATAATGTTGATGAGAGAAACTATTCGTAATCTCGATCATGATAATATGAGCAACATTTCTGAAAAAAGTATCGAGAATGTATCCCATAATAACGGCGATTTTTTGTGATACACTAATCGGTAAGACATAGCATCAAAATACCACGTTCAGGCCACGAGAACTTAGTTTCGATGGTGCGCATCATTTCGTTTACATCATTAGTGCAGCACTTTTAACAGTCATTTACTCATTTATTGATATTCCACTATTTTTCTTATACCAGTTCTTTGCACAAACGTTTACATATCTAGTTATTCCTTGCGGTACGAATAATTTTCCACATTTGGGCAAATGTATTTGTTTTTCTGATTTCTAACAAGTATCTGCATTACTTTGTGCAGAGCTATGGCTATTTCACCCTCAACTACTGAGTGGGTGAAGAACAAGTCAAAGCAATCGGAGATCTCTTTAGACAGACACAGAGATCGAACTTGTGCCGTTCATAGAAAGTGTTCGCAGATAAAATCACATCTGGATTTGCTGATGCGATGAAAGTTCAGATCAAACTGTAGACTGCCGAGTAGTCCATCGAAGCGATCGTTTAGTCGAAGAAATGAGTGGAGAATATCATAAGCGTACAAATGCTCGAAGATTTCAAGAATAAGTTCATTCGGAAGCGATTGAAACTGTGCCACATTTAAACAAATGCGCATTGTCAAGAGTTCGAATTCTTGTTCTTTCTTATATGAAGAAAACCTCTGAAGTATAAAGGAGGGAGAATGGCAAGGCAGATACTCACTCAATATGACTAGTATGAACCATCCGCCATTGACAGAAAAGTACTTCCGTTCTTGATTTTTAGTGATGGTTCTTCCAAGTACTAGGCACGGTTCTGTCCTTTCAGTTTAGTATAGATGAATAACCAACCATTAGCATTTTACTATGCTCATCACCATAGATGTCATCTCTCTCTCCACTATTCTCAACATATTACAATTATCAGGTGTATGTTCCGCAATGAATGTGGTTGAAGAAGGCATGATCAACTTACCATTCTGTGCTTGCTTCCAACATTCATCGTTGCCACAAGTAGTGAGCAATCGGTCTGATAAGTCATATTACATCGCTCTTTAGGATATGAAATCGACATTTGTATTTATTTTGCTGTCAGTTGCCATCAGAGGACTGAACAGACGCGATGTTTTGCCAACATCACTTAAGTGTCATGATGACATCATACCTTTCTGTTTTTTTTTCTGCTATGGTTGGTTATTCAACAAAAATGAAACTCGTTGTATGAGCTGTCAAGGAGAATATGGTGCGCCAAAATTACGACTTTTCGCCTGTGATTTAGAAAAAATGAATTTTTGCAGCAACAAAACAAAATTTAAAATAGCGAGTCGTACTGTTAAAGCTGGGCTTTCAGCTAGCCTAATGACATGCAAATGACGGCTTTAACGTTTAACACAAAAAACTAGATAGATTTACAATATTGTATGCCCGAACTTTAGGGACCGGCCTTGAAACGTCTGTGCTGGACAGGCTTTTAGCTTCGAAATTGATCAAACACACTTTTTACATTCAGGTTTTAACGCTGAATTCGAGAAAAGTTGTTTGAAGACTTCAAGACAATCTAGAGCGGAGATAATGAAGGATTTTTGAACTTTTTCAGAATGTTTCTACAATTTACATCCTTCAAGTATTTTCGATTTTTGATATGGAAAAAATTTTTTCAAAATTAAAAACTACATTTCCTTAATCAGCTCCATGAGCTCTATTGATGTATAATAAACTCGAAAAACTCTTTTTACTTCAAGTTTGCATTACGCGCACCTTACCAATACTGTTTCTTGTAACATAATTCAGTAAAGATAAAAGCAATCGTATGCACACAACAATCATTGACTTTTTATTTCAAAAACCCGAAGCTTTCGAGTACGATCTGTAATCATCATCAGCTGTAGTTTGCAATAAAGAACACGACTATATATACATTCGGTCGTTTTCTTGTGCATTTTTGAATTTTTTATTGTATTTATACACATCATTCAAAATATTAAAGCTAAAAGATTTTTGATTTCAGGATTATTGGATTGAAAAATCAGAATCTTTTCTTAAAACTTTTTCTGATTCTCATATTGAATTATATGTCAAGCAGCCCAAGTTAAATATCTTCTAGAGTTTTGCGAGTGATGAAGACCAAAATCTTGCAGAAGCGACGAACGTAAATCGACATGTGGTAGACCTAGACAACGAAAGTGATATTCAATCACTAACCGAACAAGTGACAATCATCACAGCCACATCGTTTCGGAAACACCAGGAACAAATATGCAAACAATTCACGTTGAACGAAGCTCAAACTCACGCGTTTATGATCCTTACCGATCATATCAATGGAGACAACCACTTGAAAAAAGGTAATATTTAACCTTGCTGTTTCTGATCTTAAATATCTATCTCATCTTGTACTTCAGACAATAAACAAGATCAGTTATTAATGTGTGTACCTGGTCCTGGTGACACAGGAAAATCTCAATTGATTCATGCAATTACAGAATATCTTTCAATAACAAAACGCAGTCATAAACTACGAAAACTAGCACCAACATCGAATGCTGCAGCCCAGATCGGACAACGATCGAAAAAGAATGGCGACATGTTCGATATATAATCATTGATGAGATTTCAATAGTGGGTCTTTACTTATTAGGACAACTTGGCTGTTTGTTGGCGCTAGCCAATCACTGCGGTCCAAGCATACTATTTGGAGACATTGACGTCATATTCTTTGGAGATTTCATCCAGTATGATCCTGTGGGAGACCAAACACTATATTCCAACATTATTTCCGACAAAACACAGAAGAAGGAAAAAATTAAAGAGATACGTGCTGCTACATGTGCATCGGAACGAGCACTGTGGAAACAAATAAACACTGTAGTAAAGTTAGAAAAGCAGATGAGAACAAGTGACTCAAGATATCTTCAACTTCTTCAACGTCTTCGGAAAGGCGAATGTACAGTTAATGATCATGAATTACTAACTACACGAGTTATAGACTCAAATCACGATGTGAAATCTCCCGATACAGACAGATGAATGAAAAAAAGCACCAATCTTCGTCTTCAGAAATGAATTACGAACTGAATTGAACGTTCTAGCTACCGCGTCCGAAGCATTTGAAAAGAATGTTAAGCCATTGGTATGCATTGCTCAAGACGAATTGAAAATTAATATCGACAGTCCGGATTTTCACAAGCATCTCCTCGAATTACCAGATAATACATCAAAATGCCTACCTGAATATTTACCGTTATTTCCGGGCATGCATGTTCTATTGACGTAAAACATAGCTACAGAATTGAAATTATCTAATGATACAACGGTAATATTTCGCGAATTAGTCTATAGTCTATGAGCAAGTAGATAACAATCTCAGCAACAGTAGTTCTATCTCACTACACGTATACATCCAATAGAATAGAAGAAAATATATTTAGCGAACAAGAGTCGATTCAGCTATTAATAAATAATGTCACAGTAGGCGGGAAACCTCTAAAAGATTTGTTGGATCTTGTTGCTCATGATAAAGCTGTTAAATTTTTGGTCGAATTTATGGGAAAAAATGATAAAAAACCGTTTAACGTCAATCTACTCACAATTGCACGGGCTTATCATGCCTTATGATGTCCAATTACAAAAATCTAAAAAAGGAGAATTTAAAACCCAAAATAATTATTGTCTCTTTCCAGGATTTGATGGTAACCAATACCGTTTTCGTTTCGTCGACGTTAAAGACGTTCAAGACGAATTATCCAATCTTATTAAATGGTTAAATGCTAATGAAAACAATTATCATCCAGTCGTATTAGCTAGTGTAGTCCATTGTAATTTTGCTCAAATCCATCCGTTTCTGGATGGAAATGTGCGCATTGCGCGTCGATTTATGAACATGGTATTATTGAAAAAGTACTATTCTTTGTGTATTATCGATGCCAATCCTCATACTATTAATGTTTATTACAATGCAATTAGAACTACTGATCATCAGCAAAAGTTACAAGAATTAACAGAACTAATAGCTTTTTCGATGTTAAGATTACAAAACATGTAATTTTGTGAATAAAGAACGTTTTTACAACAATTGCTTAGTTTTACATTATTTTTAGGATTCGACGGAAGCGCAAAGCATAGCTAGATTCTAATTCCTTCTTCGAGAAAGCAACTTCAGATGTTTTTATCTCGTCTTCGGTTATATTGGGTGATTTTATCATTTTCTGAAGAACAAATATTCTTCTCATTTTATAAATGAATTTTGTATAATTTCACTCTTATAGGAGTACCCGATCATGGAATATTGGCTCTTTTTGAAAATTTGCTGATAGGACCAGTATAATCAAACCAATTTAAATAAAATACAAAGGATGGTTTATGAATATACGTACCTAAAACAGATAAAATCTTATCATTTAACACGTTACTCATTCTACAAACAACAATTCGACTTCAAACTCACAGCAAATACTCTTCGACGACTGTAGACTACCCAGCTAAAGTATGAAGGTTAACTATTGTGTGGTTCTGAAAATTCATTGAGAACGAGCACTCACAATTGAAACATACGTCGCAGAGCGAGGATGATGAACTAATGGTCACTCTTTCTACTATAGAATCTGCATTCAATGCACATCATAATTATGAAAAAATAATCATAGAAACCTATGGTTCCGAAAAAGGTAGCTGAAATTTTAATCAGAAACATTACACACTCACCTCTGATTTTCGCAATTTCACTTATTTTGTGCCCTTTTCACTTTCCTTCTATTTTCAAGGAAAACTAATAACATATTTGACATTAGCAAACAAAACTGAATTGAATACTTAACATTTGGTTTTAGAACAAAAAGATTTCATCAAAAATTTCCTCTTACAGTTAATGGTGACTTACCATTGGTGAGTGAGTGTGTAATGTTAGCTGTCATGGTTCTTAAGTTACAGGGAGGCTCGATACTTTTGCAGAGTACTGTAATAATAAGTTTATGAATCATATAATGTGTGATCCAGACTCTCGTAATATTTTGTGTTTATTTCTCGTTCCTTGTTCCTAATTTGTTGTCCAAATATGCGCCTTGAAATTCTCTACTAAAAACATATTGAGTGTTTTATTACAAAAAGTGGAATATTATACGAAAAATACTGAGAAGTTCCAAAATGGACAACTTTCTAAAGTATTTTGCAGCAAAGTCAGACTTTACTTAAACACTTGATCTTCATGCCTGATCATTTAGACGTCTAATTTAAATATCAAATATATTTATGTAACGGATAAAAACAGTCAGATTTATTAAAACTCAATTAGTTGACAACAATTTTCAAGTTGTTCGACACATCAGAAAATTTCTTGACATCTCGTTCTTTCGTACTCTTGTGGATTGTCTGCTATAGCCTGTAATACATGAATCTTGCTTTTTATGAGCCATCCTAGTGGTATTAGAAAACCGTCGGTTAATAAAAAAAACAACTACTAGATACGCCATCAAATAGAAAAAACAGATATTAACGAATAAATACCACAACAATCAACAAAAAACACAAACACTGTGACTAACCTGAGAGAATTTTACTTACACACCACGGCATGAACATCCACCAACTGACTACATCATAATATTTACTGTCAGTGCGACATAGATATCTCACTAGCAAAAATCTAATTCTATTCTATGATCCGAGTCACATATCAACGATGATACAAATGTAAACCACGAAACATTTTCTAGACACCTGACAATTGAACTTTTTAGTCCTCTGTAGTCTTTGCTTTTTGTATGTGGATTAAAAAAGGATGCTCGCTCAGTAAGCAATTTCTCAGGTAACAATAAAATATGAATAAAATAAAAAGATCGTTTGACGATAATTAGAACAAGAAAAAACAATGAATTTAACAAAGAACAAAATAAAAACAGGAGATTAAAACCATATTCATTAACTATCATCGAGACTCATGAATTTATTTAATATATAATTAATTAGATTTGAAGATGAATACTATATTGATTGACTAGATATATTCACATTCGAATCATAATTTTAATTATTTTTTCTTTGTTGATCGGTTTTACCTCGATGTTGTTTACCCAGAATTTTTCCAGTATGATCATCAACATTATTGGATCGATGATTACTCTCATCCTTATCATCTAATGTACTAACGGTTTGATAGGATTGTCGGCTCTTCACATAATAATTCGATGTTGAATATAAACATTTTTTTAAAATAAGTATAATAAATGCAAAACAAACAGGAAACCATGTAAATAAAATAGGATTAATTTTATCACTAAACGAACGTATTGCTTGTAAATAAGTAACTAATACGGATGATTCAATTGTTTTTGATTTTATTTGTAATATATCTTGATGTTTAATATAATCAATAAACCATTGTGTATCTAAAGAAATTGTGGGAAACCATTCTCGTGTTAATAATTCACGTTTCCACCAATTTGATGAGCCTAATTCTGTAAAATTATAACGATATAACATTACTCGAAGATATTTTGGAGGTTTATTAGCAAATGGTGAATATTTAATTAATTTTAATACTTCATTTTGATTTGTTAATAGACGATAAAGAAAATTGGCAAGCCATGCTTCATGTTGATAATTGGATAATGCAGCAAACCACATTTGCCCTATAATTATGTTAATGATAATTTATCAACAAATGAAGAATGAAATATAAACAAAAAATCACTTACAATCTAAACGTGGTTGATGTGGCGCTACAAATGTTGGTGAATGTGAAAGTATACCCGGTTTTGCTTGAAATTCATATTCTTTCCATTGTAAACCTTTTGAACTAGAATAGAAAAATAGAGATATATTATACAATTTATAAACTTATTATTACAGTACTCCCATAGGCGTCGTAGCCACTAGGCTCAAGCAATTTGGCTCTCTTAGGCTCAGCCTTACCCCGTTAAAAAGATAAATATCAGTTTTCCACTAGGGATTTTTCATTGATCATACATTTAGTGCGTGACTATACAGCCACGCAATTCTTTGTTTTTTTCTATTGTCACATATACAGTTTAGTTTTGCGGCTGAGTATTTTGTTTGACTCAGTAAATTTTTGAAAAGTGAGCCTTACCTCATATGAAAATGTTCCGCCGCGTTGTTCAATGTGCTCGTTCTCAATGAATTTTCAGAACGACACAATAGTTAACCTTCATACTTTAGCTGGATAGTCTACAGTCGTCGAAGAGTATTTGCTGTAAGTTTGAAGTCGAATTGATGTTTGTAGAATGAGTTATGAATTTTTCTTGGAAAAGACTTCATATCTCAGAATCTCGTTTTCAGAGACTTCGTTCGTAAAAGAGTTGTATTTCACTGACTACTCACAAAATATTATATTGTAGATAGAGTAGAGTCGTGGCTACATTTTAGTAAAAAGAAAAAATTTTCATTTCTCTTAGGTCAGGAGCTATTGATATTTTATGGAAAAGGCATAAATCGCTTATATCTCACGAACCATCTAGTATAAGAGGCCCAAAAGCAAACGCTATGACCACACAAAATTAGAAGTCCCTAGCTATCGTGGTTCTTAAGTTACAGGGGGGCTCGATACTTTTGCAGAGTACAGTATTAATAATATATTTTTTTTATCTTTCTTACTTTGTTGATTCAAATGCTCCTTCGATAATTAATTCTGGTCGTCCATCAACACCAGTCATCGATCGAAATAAACCATAAGCATTAAAAATATGATATTGTTCATATTTATTATACCAAGTTTGTAATTCACCAGGTAACGCTTGTAATGTATTTTTTTCTATAACACTGAATGGTATTAATGAGATAAAAAATAGACAAATGGCAATAATTGAATAAAATGCAGTTATTATTAAATGAAATAATTTTTTATAAAATTTTTTTGGTCGTTTAATCGATTGTGTTAATGCTTTTGTTATTGTAAAAATAAGTGAACACCATCCAATAAATATACATACAGGTACAAATCGTTTTAAAAATAGATCAAATTGTTTAGGAGTAAACATAATTTTTGTTTCAATTAAATTTTTATTACTATTCCATTTTATACCAAACCATTTAATTGTTAAATAAACATAGACAAATATTAATACTAAATTAATAATCCATTTGACAATAATTTCAATATTTTTTAATGATGATTTTTTTTGATTTTGATTTTTTACAGTTGATTTAAAATTCCATGAATTTAACCATTTATCATCGACTAATGATAAACATAAAAATATGGTTAATAAATTAAAAAAATTATAATTTCCTGTTAATAATATTAATATTTGAAGAAAAGTTTGAAAATAAAATGCCCATAATCGATGTTGTCTTAATGGTGAAAAAAATAAAATAGCTGTACCACTCATAATCATGTAAACAAATGCTGTTGATAATGAATGTAACCATTGTGATATATGATGTGCATAATATGAAAGAGGTGTTGGTAAACATTGTGATTGATAATGATAAAACATTGCTGTTAAATTCCACCATGTTCTATCATATCCACTCAATTTTACTATACCAGATGCAAATAGTAAACGAAATGCTAGCCAACGTATAAGCCATAAAACAATTCGATCATGATAAAAATCATTATCGTTATTTTCAATTAATTGTTTTCGTTTTGATAAATAAATAATTCTTAATGGTGCAACTATACATGTTAAAAATCCAGCTTCTAAAAGTAATGTATCCCATTGAAACCATAAAAATAGACCACCAACTTGAAAACATGAATAATAAATTAACCATAATATAAAAAAGAAAAATGTTGTTCTTAAACATTTAAATATAATCATGAATATACTCAATACTAAACCAAATAATGTAATGAATTCTATTCTATGAAATGATGATAAATTTAAATTAGAGAAAAATGATAATAACATCGGTGTTTGAATATTGTTTTGTTTTAATTGACGACGAATGGGCATAATACCATTTTCACCATATAAACCAGCTTCTTGCCAATATAACGAGGCAAAAGCAAATGCGTAAATAATACTCATACATAATAAAAATAAATTTCGTGTTTGACAATATTCTCGAATTGATAATAAAATAGATGAATTAGGTAAACGATATTTGACCATTGTTTATTTGATTTGTTTGTTTGTTTGTTTCTCGAGAAAAAAAATGAAGAAACAAAAAAATAATTCAGACAAGATTAACAGAAAAATCTAATAAAAAAAAGAAAATGTGGCTTTAGTTAATAGAATATAAATTGAGCCTCTGATAAAAGAAAAAGCCTACGAATACGTCATTATAAGTGTTCTGAGACATTCTGTCTAATTGGTTAAATATTTTGTAGTTGAAGATGCATACAAAAAGTTCTCATCGAAAACGCTTGTTATTTGGTGAATAAAACAATACTTATGCAATGACTAATGGCATTTTTACACAAATTATCTCAATCAACACGTTATTATAACGTTTATTTGTAAAATATAACTAGAGAACAAAACCGAGGCCAGGCCCCATTTCAAGAAAAAACACTAGAAGGAGAAAACAGAAACCAAGATTTCTCTAAACAGGCTAGAAAGTAAAACATAAAAATGTCAGGAATCAAGAGAAAAAGCAAGATAAAAAAGAAATGTTCTGTTGCATCAGGAAAGAAAAAAAAATGCAACTTTAGGGAGAGTATGGAGCGCTAATAGAGGAAAAATTTAGAGTAGCCTTATGCAAACCTTTTTGTTTGCTGGATGAAGGAACTCACTAAAATTAAGATTGGGCTCTAGTTTAAGCAATTTGACAAAAACTAACAGTATATCTCTTTCGTTTCTATATGCGGGACACTGAAAGAAGTAGTGTTTAAGATTTTCTTGTACTCTTATGGATGGTGAAAGCGTCAGACACGATTCACATAGGGAACTAGATACACATTTGTGTTGATGAAGATAATAATTTAACGCTGAAAAATTGACTCTTAAGCGGCAGTACAAAGCATCAAGACGTCTGTTCGACGAAGATGGCATTCTGTTAACGTGTCCACTTATGCTAAGTCTTAATTCTTTTCGGAATAAGACAGGTCTCCGTCTTGAGCATATATTTGGATTTTTAACTACGAGTTCGTTCCAAGCACGAATTGCTGAGGGGAAGAACGTTGACTGAAACATAGCACTTTTCCCCTTATAATCGTATAGCTCCTCTGTGATGGTTCTTCGAAGATAATGGTGATGTGACGCAGGTTCAACTGAACGCACATGGTGTTGTTCATGGTTTTTTACAAAACCATGACGTATTTTGATTTTGAATCAACACGTTAATAGTAGAACTATGCAAATCCTCTTCAAACAATTATTCAGTGCTCAACTAAAAGAAACCAGATTGGCTTCTCATATTGACAAGCTAACGAGAAAGATCTCATATCAGTTGAAATTGAAGAATAATGATATTTTCCGGAAAGTAGACAGACTCTCTGATGTCAATAGTACTGCTTATACAAATTGTTTCCTTTAAAAAAATTATAAAATTTCTCCACTTTCTTCTACTCTTTCAAATAAAAAACCCAAAAACAAATGATCGTAGTGGAAAATAAAGTTGAAATTAACTTTATTAATAAATAAAAAAAAAAAAAATCAGAATATCGCATAGAAAGAAAAAAATGTACACAATAAACGTTGTTGAGAAAAAAGTATCGGGGTAAAAAAATCCTTTTTGAAATTCTGCTAATCTTTATTATCGTCTACTATATACTTGATTTAATCTATAGGAAAAAAAAAATTCTGTTTTATGTGTGCCGAGATTTCAATTGTTCTTCAACTGCTTTAACACATTTAGCCATTGTTAATGATGCACGACTAATGGGATCTGTCATATAAAAGTCTTTTAATTCGGTAATTGGAGGTGTTAGTGCTGAATCAGTAAACGATGTTTTATGATTCTAAATAAAATATTGAAAGTTAAAAGATAATAAGTTTCTCATTATAAATAAACAGATACCTGTAACAAATCAGCATTTTGTTTAAAATAATTGGCTTCTTCAATTGTATTGATTCGTGTTAAATTTGGAGCAACTTGATCAATGCGTGATCGAACATCATCAATATCATTGTAGGGCAATGTCAAACCACATACCTGCGAATAGCAAGAAAGGATGATTAGTTTGTATTAATATAATCCATTATTTCATTATACTTCAGCTAAAGCTCGAATAATTTTCCAATCTTCTCTTGCTTTGCCTGGTGGTGTTACAGCAAGGCGCGTTTGTTGTGCACGACCTATTGTCAATAAAATAACATAAACGAAATAAAATATAATGGTATCTGCTCTAGTAAAATAACTAACCTTCGGTGTTGGCATATATGCCCTGTTTTTCTGTGTAAGCGGCTCCAGGCAGAATTGCATCTGCCATTAATGCACCACGATCGCCATGATGACCTAAAAAAACAATATAAACAACCGATTACACATATTATACATGATGTTAAGTATTCAATAGTTAATACCTTGATAAATTATGTAACAATCATTCGGTAAATCCTGACGTTTAATAAGACCTTCATCAGCACCAAATAAATATAATATTTTTGGTTTTAATTCAATAATTGATTTAACATCAGGCTTATAACCAAGGTCTAAAGCTGCTACTTGTGATGCATACTAAAAAGAAAAGAACGATAAGGGTTATTGATTCTGTTCCTTATCTTCTTCGTGGTTTTATTTTGCTACTTAAAAGCTTTTAAGTACTTTTAAGTTTTTACTTAAAAACTCTTTTTATATTAACTTGCACATACTCGATGGAGAACATTGAAAATACGCCATTCTTTATTCTCATCAGCAAGCGATGAACGTAATTTGTTTGCTAATGACACAGTGGCTGCATAAACTGACTCTGTATCTTGACGTTGAAACATTGCACTACCAAGAATAATCAATGGTCGTTTTGCACTGCTCAGAATCTTAATAAAAACACATATCGTTATTTATCATAACAGTAGACTAATTCTAGACAATATCCAGAAAAATATACTTTTGAAAATGCATGCTTTCCACTTGACAATTCTGCTAATACTTTTGTACTATCACCTAAATGATCATATGTGTATGTCAAGTCAAGTTTTGGACCTATTACGGCTACTCGTAAATCGTTGTGTGTCCACCTTAAAGATAAAGTAGACCATCACCACCACAGTGAACGTAACTTTGTACATCAGTTGCACATACGCTTTTCGTATTCTTGCGTTCAAAACTGATGCTTCATAACGTGGATTTGTTCCTACTAACAGGACCAGATCAGCATGTTCAACGCCGGCAATGGTGCCATTGAATAAATAATTGCTTCTCAAATCCGTTCTGTATTTGAAGAAACAAAAAGGATCATCTAACTTTCTTTGTACATAAATAAAACGAAGAGAAAACATACGAAGCGCCAACGTTTGGAAATAACTCTTCCACACAAACTGTTTCACATCCTAATTGATTCATGAAATCTTTCAATGCGATTAATCCTTCAGCATCACAAAAACGGCCAGCTAGTGCGGCCATCTTTGAACCGGTTGAGCGACCAATCTACCAAAAAATATGTTATTAAGATAGACGAGAAATCATTGAATATCAAGAATTTGATTTATGCATGCACAGCTTCAATTACCAAGGAAAGTTCTAATGTAAACCATTACCTTTTCAGCGACAACACTTAATGCATCTTCCCAATCACATGGTGTTAGATATCCATCACGATTTTTTAACATTGGTGCTGTTAAACGTTGCCGTTTTAAACCATCATATGCAAAACGTGTTTTATCTGATATCCATTCTTCATTCACATCCTACAGAAGATGCAACCATAACATCAAACTATGTTTTAGAGTAAATATAAACATAAAACTCACTTCATTAATACGCGGAATAACACGAAGTACATCTCCGCTTCTTGTATGAACAACAATGTTGCTTCCCAGTGCATCCATCACGTCAATAGATTCCGATTTTCTATAAATAATAGATTGAATATATAGAGTAAATATATTTGTCACATTCATTCTGGTTATATCCCAACTCTGTACACCTAGTCTACCTTGTTTCCCATGGTCTAGCTGTAAATGCATATGGTTTCGATGTTAATGCACCGACAGGACATAAATCAATAACGTTTCCAGATAATTCAGACATAAATAAACGTTCAACATATGTACCAATGACCATATCACTGCCACGACCAGTGGTTCCCAGATCACTTACACCAGCTACTTCGCTGCCAAATCTTTGAAAGGAAAACGGAGTTTCTAATAGTGCACTTCATAAAAACCTTTTAAAACTATACCTGATACACCGTGTACAATGAATACAACGATTCATACTTGTCTTAACGAGTGGTCCGATATTTTTATCCTCTACAGATCTAAAGAAGTAATAGTACATTCTCATAAATCTTACAGTGACACTATGATAAATGAGAGAAAACTATATTTAGAAAAATTTTTCATAACGTACCGTTTACCCGAAAACTGATTGTCTGTAAAACGTGAACGATCACTACCAAACATCATTGATTGATCCTAAAGTATACGCAAATGTGTAGATTCGCCGATTTTTAAAATAGGTCTTAGACAATTCACCTGTAAATCACATTCACCACCTTGATCACAAATGGGACAATCAAGTGGATGATTGACAAGCAAAAATTCCATGACACCTTCACGTGCTTTCTTCGTCAGCGGTGAATCTGTTAATATCCGCATGCCTTTCATAACAGGCATTGCACATGATGCAACTGGCTAAATAAAGAAATGATAATGGAAGATTATACTTATCCTTTCTATTTAGCTTATGAGAGCGTACTTTAGGTGTTTTTTCTATTTCAACAAGACACATTCGGCAATTACCAGCAATCGATAATCGTTCGTGATAACAATAACGTGGAATTTCAACACCAGCTTCAGCACAAGCCTAAATATAAGATAAAAAGGATAATCAAGTTGTTTAAATTGACAAATCGCAGATATTTACTTGAAGAACGGTAGTGTTAGGTTCAACATGAATTGGTTTACCATCTACAAACACTTCAAGTTTTTCCGGTTCCTTTTTAGCAGCTGTTGATTGATTCGCAACAAAAATATAGCCTAAAAAGTAAAGAATTAGTAATAATTACGCAAATAGAGTACAATCAATATGTACCATGTTGCTTAATTCGACTTAATGGTGTAATCAAACGATTGAGTTGCAAGCGATTCATTCGGCAACTTATATATCTACAAAAAAAAATCTTTACCATCTCTACCATCCATTATCTTTTGAGAAATGATGTCAACTATTAATTAAGTTAAGAGATATTTGCAAAAAGTATTTCCTTTTATAGCAATAACGACATTTTAATGTCTCTGTTAGAACAGGCAATTTTCAAAAAAATAGTTACAAAAAAATCATTTCTAAATTGTAGTTTTAATATATAGCACAATTATTTAAGAGTTACACCAATGAAAATATTTTATACAAAACAAATAAAAATAAATACTATTACTAAAAAAGTGACAAAAACTTCAAACATTCAATGGTTGCCAGTTTCATTACCGTTGATATAAAAACAACACAAGATAATTTTGGCTGTGTCTTGTGTATCTTGTTATTTCTATTTTGACAATAATCCGATTATTATTTATTTAAGCACATGTCTACATAATGATACATCTACACTAAATCGAATTCAATATTTCAACTATTAACAGATGTGTAACGTGTTTTTAATTTCAAATAATCTTTTCGACTTTTAATTGCTTGTTCAATCCAAACTAATTCAATTGCTAAACTTTCACGTTTTCTTAATAATTCATTTCTAGTTAATCGTTTCGTGTCATCCATATCATTTAATTGATTTTCAAAATCGATTGAATCATGTTGATCAATACCAGTATGCTTTGTTTCCTCGTTTCTTACAACTGGACTTTCTAATTGTTGATGGCGATTGTTCACTAAAAATGACATTAACATAGACAAAGTTAGATAATAGATTTTAGATTAACCAAAATCTGACTATTCCACCCTTCGTGCAGTATATACAGTAGTTATTAAAAGAGTCTAGCCTACTATCTGAACAAACCAATTTTACCCGATAAAGAAGAAATCGGGCAAACAATGCTTGTCACGGTTTCTACTGGTGGCAATTCTTTTGTTATAGTTGTTTTTTGAATAATCGATGATATCATAGGAATAGGTTTTATTATCACTTCGTTTTTAGACGTGTGATTCGATGTTATGTCATCTTTTGGTTTCATATACGATGGAAATGAAGATACAAAAACATTTTCAATATCATTTAATGTTTTCAAATATTCATCTTGAACATGGTCAAATTGTTTACGAATGTAATGACGACGAATAAGACGTTGAAGAAGAAGAATTTTTTTCATAAAATCATCATGATTTTTATTATTATTAAGGTTCCATGCTAAAAATGTTGATGGAAGTTGTGTAGTAAAATATTGTTGTTTATAAATCGTCGTTAAATCATCGTCAAGTGACATTTTATCTTGAAATAGAAAACTAAAGCCACAATAGTTATTAATTTAATTTATGCTACAATATAAAGTGTATGAACAAATACAATGTAAACAAGAAGACAAACTGACTAGAATAGTAATAGAACTAACAAATGATGTCAATACTGATATAGAATCTTTTATCACGTACAATATTTTTATACAGTTTGAAAATTCAATATAGTTCAAATGTTAATAAGTTTTTCATCTACGATCTAGTGAATCATTGCCAAGTTTACAGAAATTTAAATAAATATTATTGTTGTCTTTTGATGAACAACAATTTCGAAGTAAATTGTGAGATGAATGTAGCTTTGTGAATTAATAATATGATTCTATTATGTTATCGAGCAAATTTTCAACCTTTCACAGTCATTCTCAGGTCAAATTATACAAACTATACTAACATAGATAAAATATCTGATAGCTAGGACACTATAAACTTAGAAATACTTTTAAACATAGATGTCTTTAAAAGTTATTCACTATACATTTTGGCAAACTCCACTCATTCGATTCTACTATTTTGTCTGTCTCGATTCTATTTTTTACTTATTTATATTTTTATACAGTTTATGACCTGAAAATGATAGTAAAAGGTTGAAAATTTGTCAATAATATAATATAATTATGCTGTGAATCTATCGCTTATCTCACAATTTATCCATGATTTAGTTTATAACTTTAGCAGTTGCCCGTTAGTTATACAAAAGAAAAACAAACGTAGCATTGTTCACCATGTGTCATCAATTCTCTTTTATATTCTCTTTTATACCTCTATTGTTTTTTGTTTCATTTTTTTAAAGTTACAGTTTTAGAAAAAACAACAATTGAGGAAAAGAAACAGAATAACAATAAGCAAGTTCATGGTGATAATATTTGAAAAATAGGAAAAAAAATTAATAGAATTACAGAAGAGTATAACAAAAAAAAAAAATAATTAAAACGGTAGGAAAGTAACATTGTTCATTTCATTTTTAGTCGAGATAATGAGAAAAGGTAGAAAATCACAGAGAAAAAACAAAACAGTGTTCTTTTTTTTATCAAATTTCGGGTGGACATTATTGCACGAAAAAAGAAAAAAAAAGAAACAAATAAAAATAACAATAAAATGATAACAAACTTTAAACAATTTCAATAAAAAGCACCGCATCCTTCTTCTTCATAAGTCAACATTATCAACGCGAGAGAGAGATGAGAAAAAGGACAAAAAAAAAAATAGATTAAATCAAAATTTTTCTTTTAGACTTAACTTTGCCTATGAGACAATACAAAATGAGCTTAATACATTTCGTTAGGAAGTTGACTCGGTCAATACTTTTCGTTTCCATGACCATTTAAGTCTCAAATTTGATTCATCACATTTTTCCATTTGAATATGCTTATTATCAGTGGATAATGCCAAACACAAAGATGATACTTGATGAAATATATGACCATTCTAAAGAGAAAACAAAAATTAATATACAGAAAAAACGATTTTTAATAATTTATTTTACCTCTTTATATGCCCAATGTTGATTGCCTTTCATTCCATGACCTAAACAATTAGAATTTTATACTAAACTTGTATTACTCAAGTAACGATAGATACATACATGGATAGACAATAATTTTATCATCTTTTCCTACTTCATGTACACCACCCGAAAAATCTAAACAACCATCATCTCGTCTAATTTCACCAAG